GCGTCCGATAAGGCCACGTCGCCCGTTAGCCCGCAACCGTTGTATCTCGCGAATCGTTGCGAACCCACGCTGATCCCCTCCGTCTCCCCGCCGCCGCTCTTCCTGCCGCACCGACATCGCCGTCCACGGTCCACCAGCCGCGCCGCGCGTGCCTCCCTCCTCCAGCTGCCCGCACGCGCGGCCCGAGCTTGGCCCTCTCCGGTGTTGATGCTCGAGCTCAGCCCTATCAGGCGTCACGGCTCTATGCCGCGGTGGCAAAATGCTCGCCTCAATCGCCAGATCACAGAACGGATCAGCTGCTAGACTCATTGCCCGCAATGTGTTCGACAAAATGAGCAGACGCTGGGTCTCGCCGGCTATGCAACTTCTGCTAGGCACTCCTCCTTTCATTTGTCCGTGGCTTTCCTTTTTCCCAAGTACTAGCTCTACCTTCTCATTTTTTCCCCATTTTCTCTTACTCTTCCATGTGCTAGACCGTAGGTCCTCCGAGCAAACAGCAAAGGAGACGCCACAGTTCTTAAGGTCTTCAAGAGATACTCCAGCACGTTGACAAAAGACATGCAATACATGTTCAAGGTAACTTTTTTTTTAAAAAAAAAAAGAGGCATGCTTGATGTCTATTGCAGTTTCTTTTGCAAGTTTCAATTCTGTAATTCCTTTTTTATTGGATATTTCAATGCATGCGCACGTTGTCCATGCCAATTGAAATCAACACTGATATTTTATATAATTTTATACGAGCTCCAAGTTTCTTACAAATATATGAATGCATGGTTATAAGACAAGGTTATGGAGTTATGGCTATCATTAGTTGTCCACCTGTATATAAAAGAACAAGAAACAAGTCGAGTCCAAAAATCTTCTTTTAACTATCCTATTTAGTAAGTTATTTGGAAATTTAGCAATCAGATATAATGGGAATTCTGAATATACAACAGCAAAAAAAAGTCAGTCTCATGCCACTATTTTGCCTTTTAGAGAATTCAAACCACTAGAAAATCATGCTCTTTTGCTCAAAACATACCAGGGTGCTTCAACAAATATTTCTTCTTTGGGTTTGGCAGTCACTGAGATGCATAATACAAAAGTAGAAAAGGATATCCTACTCTCTAAGCAAAACACATGGTTAAGCTGCATTCAGTTTCAAGTGTTTCAATTCCTGTATCAGCATGATGTTCTCTGGGATCAAGAGCTCAACGACTGTGAAACATGTTATTACTCTGGCTGAGATACTATTCCTTTTCAGTGAAAATGATCTCAATCCCAATTATATATCAGAATAATGATGCATACAACCCAGGATACTAACTAATTTAAATCTATGACACAATTTGCTCGAGAAGCTCAATGCTAAACTCACTTCAAAAGCTAACCACATACTGGCCTTATTCACGTGCTTACTAATTAAATTGATTGGTGCTAAACAAATAGAATTTCTATTAAGTACAAAGCAAGTGAACTATGAGAAAAGATAATTATGCATTCCTTCGATGCATTTTCTTCTCCTTTTTATTCTTTTGATTGATCCAAAAGATTATTTTTTATCACTAACTTCATACCATTGTATAAAATAATTGGTTCAAGTGATTAATTCTATTCAACACTCAACAGTCCAATTATCAACGTGCAAATGTTGTGGAGCAACACCAACCTACAACTGGCATATCGAGGATTTTTCTAGTTTGTATTTGTACTTGATTCCAAGCCACGACCCGGCCTGCCCTAATGCTACTCCGTGGTTACCTGACCGAACTCGCGAAATGGGCGAATAACAACAGGCGTATGTATCCCACGGACCAGGCCAACGATATGGGCCCTCCAAATAGTCCTTTTTTATTTGGGCCTTGACAGCGGGAACAGCAGCTACCTCTAATCTGTGCGTGTTGGGCCGACCTCCCGCAGAATGTACTAGTCTCTCGGTTTCAAGTCCATAGCCCATTGCTGTACGTTGCATTACTGCAGTAAGCAAACGAACATATTATAATCAGACCCAATACTATTATTGGATGTAACTTGTTGTTTAAATTTGGGTATTACCACCCGGATTGGGGCAAGTGGGCCCACTAGGGGGGGTCGGCCGGCTCCATTTTGTTTCACTTTGCTTCCTACATAGAAATGCTCCATGTATATGTGGAACTTTGTTATTCGAATAAAATATGCTCATTTTTTTATCTCGAGGTATGTGTTAACGGTATTTTTATGGTGTGAAAACATGTTGCTATGATCGTCAATGGTCTCGTACTTGTACCGTAGGTTTAGGTTTGTCATCTGTGAAAGCAAGCCGCCTGTGTTCGGCTGGGGCGGGCTGGTTGGCTGGGCTAGCCAGCCCCCTCACATGGACACTATTCATATGAACCTGCCAGTGGTATTTCTCTCTCACATAAACGAACCATCAACGATACGAACCAGCCAACCGAACAGGCTGAAGAAAGGTGGGAGTGCGTGATGGACAAGGGAGGGAATGTGTCTGTTGATACCACCCTCACAAGTAAGACGAGTGAGACTGTATGTTGGAGGAGTCTATCTAGCCTCGGACTCTCTTACGGTGGGTCTAATTTTGCTGTATGTGAAAGCTAGACTAGTGGGAGCCCAGGATATAGATGAGGAGTGGGTCTACAAGCTTGGAGATTTATTCGATGATCACGTCATATGTTTCAATACGTCTTGGAATTAGGCTACGTACTTTTTCTGAACGCGTGCTGGCCTAATTAACTTGTATGTATACTGTGCTGTGCGTGTTCGAGTCACATGTTGGATATGAAGGATTTTTCTCTTTTTTTCGCTATTATTATGTCTCACGAGAATTAACGCGAAGACTGTTTAGAGCTTATGTAATTAACAAACACTAGTATTATGCTACTTACCTATCGATCAGTTTTCCAATTTTTCTGCAGCACGCATTGCACTAGCTATGGATCCACCCGCCAATCTCATCAGGTATGGTACAGGCAGGCAGGGACGGAGACAGGGCCAGACGGCCAGTAGTGTTGGTTGCCAGTCCGGGACAACAGCAAAGGTCGACAATGAAATATCTTATATGTGTTCCTCTAGCTGCTCGTCGCTACTATCTTATACACGGAATTCAGATATGTTAAGACTAAGAGTGTAGTTAACACCGTACCCTCCTTTGGGTAGTTCTGGTAGCATCATATTGCAAAGACTTTATCAATCACAAGATACTCCGTATGCTTGATCTGTCTCTCACACACATATGCTTATTATTTCACCTCTCCTATATCTCAGGTACTTGATTTCAACATACAATTTTGTCATTATTTGATTATAGGAAAAAAATGTTCATTATCTCTTGTGAGTTGTCATTTTGATTGTACTAGTTATCTCTTGTGAGTTGTTGCATGAAAACTCAAAAAAATCAGATGCCTGAGAACTATAACAACTCCCTTATTATTTACAAAGATGTGTGTGCGCGTGAGTTTAAAATGCAGGAATCAAGGGCAGATCTACGTACAAGGTATGCACTGCACCGGCATACCCTGCAGTCCAGCCCATCACGATACATCGATCTATTTGTGAAAATATCTTGACGCTTCGCCTGCCCTGCCTCGCAATCCCATCCAAGCCGCCGCACCCGTGCCTACTGTCCTCGTCGTCCGGTTGTCTGCATGGTAACAAAGCCAGCAGCCCAGCACCCACCGAGAGCATCAGATTCGGCCATGCCGGCAGCGGAGGCGGAGTCCGATCAAAGTCACACCAAGCTTTATAGTACAGATGCTAATTGGTGTTAATTAGGTCTGGATCAGGATTTGGGTAGAAGAGAGTACTTAATTGACAACTAGACCCAGAAGCTGCAATAATTCCACTGCTAGTACTTTGGCAAGCATATGCTTGCAAATCTGACAAGTAACATTTTTGCGATGTCTTGACTTGATCTTATCACTTTTCTAAGAAATTTGCCTAATTAATTACCTATAATTAATTTGTGTATATCATGGAGACCTGTAAGATTACTTATCATTATTTGTGTATATCACCAAACATCAGTACTCCCTCCGTACTAAAAAATGAAGTCGTTTTGGACAAGGCTTGGGTCAAACATTGGGAATATAAATCATGAATAACTTTTAAGTTGTTGAGTTTGGAAATGTGAAAACCATATGTATAGATTTGTCTAGAAAAATACTTTCACAAAAATTTACATATATCACTTTTTGATAAATATCTTTATAAAAATAAGTAGTCAAAGTTATGTTTTGGAGACCGTGTCGCTATCCAAAACGACTTCATTTTTTAGTATGGAGGGAGTATCTGATATTCATGTCATGTATGTATTATAGTCGTAGCAGACTACATCATGTGATTCTATGAACTATGATTCTATCATCCCGATCGCATGTGATTTACATTGCTTTTTTAGAATTGTTCACTTATGAAGAGGGACAATCATATTTGATCTCTCTTATAGAAAGCATGCTTAAAATGTTAGAAAATAGCATGGTAAGTTTTTTATTCTCTTTCATGCCTCGTTTTAAATTATCAGTATGGTGCTAAACTATTCATATTGTAATATGTGAAAGCTTCCAACTTAATCTTTAAATTTAAGACTTATCATATTATTTAGTGCATGTATACCGAATTATGCCGTAAATTATGTGATCTTTTATCAATTTGGTAAATGAGTTTACCGAATGTATATGAAATTTTCTGTGCGGCGTACCTTTAGGTAAAATCATAAATCCGCCACCGGCATGAATGTGCGTGTATTTGGGCGTACAAGCGTCTATGTTATTATTACGTTTTGAGTGGGAAAAAATCAAGCTAACGGCAACAAATCTACAATAATAACACAGTAGGGGGAAAAAATCTCTGCTTAAATTATGTTCCTCTTTGTACAACTACACCCTTCTTTCAAAAGGCGGAAAAAAGATGAACCAATCAAATTGCAAGAGTTTCCTCCGCAAGACCGCAATGGATGCATGCATGGTCGAGCACGTCCCCATTGCATGGAGATCAGTCAATGGTGTATTGGCGTGCTGCTGCTGCTAGCAAGGGTACACGACCTGGAGGTGGTGATGCAAGCACGGCGAGGTCCGCCACGCCCTCGCATGCAGCCGGAGCGTCTCGCGCGCCCGCTCCCTCGTCCTCTCGGCGTACTGCTCCGAATGCGCCACCAAGCACAGCGTCGCCACGACGCCGGCCTGCGCCATCTCCTGCACCACCGCCGCCGTGGCCGCGTGCCTCGCCACGGACCGCAGCACCCTCACCGCCTTGTCCGTGGCCACCTCCGACACCCTCAGCGCCTTCCTGCCCACGGCCGCCACCCCTGCGGCGTGCGCCACCAGGTCGGCGCGCCCCTCCGCGCACCCGCACAGGCGCTCCAGCGCTGCGAGGACGAGCTCGCACGCGCGGCGCTCCGCCCCGTCGTCGAAGAGCATGTCGACGAGCACGGGAACCGCGCCGGCGTCCACCGCCTTGACGCGGTTGCGGCCCCACGCCGCCGTGCGCACGAGCACGTGCAGCGCCGCCTTGGTCGCGGACCTGGAGACGGCCGGCCTGTCGCGGAGCAGCTCCACGGCCTCCCTGAACGCCAGCTCCGGGAGGGACACCAGCCTGCTGGGCGGCAGGGCGGCCGTGACGCGCTCCAGGAGCAGCGCCGCGCGCGCCCTGGACGCGGCGCTGGACAGCTGCAGCGCGGAGACGAGCGCGGAGACCAGCGCGTCGTTCGTCTCGGCGACGCGGCGCAGGCACTGCTCCGGGACCTGGAGCGAGGAGATGACCTCGAGCGCCTCGTCGCGGACGGCGGCGGCTGTGCCTTCTGACTTGGCGTTGGCGGACGCCTCGAACACCGCGGCCAGGACCTCCACCGCGCCGGGGACGGCGGCGACGAGCTTCCGGTTGCGGTCGCTCTCGGCCGCCACGTCCCTGAGCTCGCGCAGCGCGGCGAGGAGCTGCTGCTGCGGCTGCGGCGCCGATGAACCGGTGGTGGCAGCGGCGTGGACCCGCGAGACCAGCGTTGCGACGGCGGCGCGGTCGGTGCGGGGCTTGGGCGTGTGGACGCGGTCGACGCCGTCGGCGGCGTGGAGCGCGCACCAGGACTGGATGAGGCGGCGCAGCGTGTGGTTGGGCGTGGGGTCGCAGTCCGCCGGCACGGGCTGCTTGGTGAGCGGGCAGGTGGCGGCGGTGAGGAGCCAGCTCTCGATGCCGTCGCGGTCGTAGGTGATGCCGGTGGGGAGCGTGACGGGGTCCCGCATGATGGCCAGCGAGATGGGGCACAGGAAGTAGCAGGGCACCTCCACCTCCACCTGCACCTCCACCTGCAGCTGCAGCTCCTCCTCCATTGCTATTGCTAACAACAGCGACGACGCGATCGAGCTACAAGCAATGACGTTCGCTGTCTTCTTCTTCTTCTTCTCGCTGGTGACGACAGAGCAGAGCTAGCTGTGGTGTTGGAGAGTAGAGTAGGCAGACCGAAGCTGGCTACAATGGTGTGGTGTTGGAGAGTAGTGTAGGCAGACCGAAGCTCGGGCAGACCGAGAGCGGTGGATGATCGGAGAAGAGACCAGGGGGAGAGAGGAGGGATTCAAAGACGTGTGCGAGTCCACACGGCGACGAGCACGAGCGTGAGCTGACCGAATATTGAAGATAGACACCGATATGAATATGAGAGCCCATGCTGGATCGGTAGCTCATTGGTTGGTGCTCGCCTTCTACGAAAGAGACGTCTCCATTATTTATTTTATTCTTCTCAATGAATTGATGTACTAGTCGTGTATAGTACGGGCTTTTTTAACCAATAAAAAGTTTGAACCTTCCTTGGTCGTCTACAGTATACTCCCTCCATAAAAAAGATCATGATGAGTCAAATAATTTCAAGTTTAATTAAATTTATATACAAAATATACTAATATTTAGGGCTGCTCTAGCGTCCGGTGCGGACGCCCGCGGCTACTGCACGCCCGCGCTGCTTCCCGTGCCCGCAGCCGCGCAACGCTCCATTCCTCCACTTACCACACGCATGCACGGTGCCCCAGCAACTGAAGTAAGGGCTATGGCAGGTGAGTCACGTTGCAACATGTACGATACCCGATCTACTTTTGAAACATCCAGATGAAACTTTTACAACATGCGTCTGAAGAAAGATGTAACATTTAAAACATGCGTCTGAAATACTTACGAAAACACCTAAAAACACTTGAAAAGCCATTGCAACACATATGCAACGTCCTGACAAAAACACTTTGCATACATATGTGTGAAACATACGCACCATCCAAATAAAAACACTTGCAACATAGGTTTGAAAAAACAGATGAAATAATTAAAACAAACGCTTGCAACGTACGTGTATAGCCTTGCAACATATGCAATATCCCGATCTACTTTTGCAACATCTATACGAAACACTTGGAACATACCTCTGAAATATCTACAACGATTGAAACATACGTTTGCAACATAAGAGGGAGAGAACGAGGCCAGTCGATTCCGTCCGTCAGGCTGGTATCGAGCCGATGGCGTGCGAGCACCACCATCACCGGCCGCGCTTGTTGACACCAAAATTTGGTTCGAAAAGAAAAGACCCCAAGGTCGAGATTAGTCAAAAGAAAGCCGAGACCTTTAATCAAATCGGCTAACCAGGTTGCCAGATCAGCTAGCAATATGACGTCATCAAGGGAATGATCCCTGTCGGCACGATCAGCAAGATATAAACAAGAAGACGCGTCGGGCTCCATATAAAGGAAAGATTGGAGTCCAAGTTATCTTAAATTAGGAAGTTTTGTTCTCTTTCTCAAGTTTGTAACCGGTCTTGTTCGACCAGGACTCACAGTCAGGCCTTGGGTATAAATATTAACCCCGACTATTGAAAAAAACATCTCACGTCGATCAAACAAATCTAGTACCTTTACTTTTTCTGGCTCCGACCACCCCTTAGGAGTAGGAGTATAGTAGATTTTGGCTAGTTCTTCGGGCAAACAGGGCTGCATCGGACGACCTGACCTCCAGCTTGTTTGTGAGTATCCATCACGACTTATATTGTTACTTGCAAGGCTGCAACAGACGACTAATATCTTGTGAGTCGCGATATAAGTTAGTTATCGATCTATATTGTTATTTGGAAGGCTGTAACAGACGACTGATCTCTTACAAATCGCGGTATAGATTAGTTATCGATTCGTATCAACTTTTACAAGGCTGCAACAGACGATTGATCTCTTGTAAACGTTGGTATTAATCAAAGTTACCGATATTGTGTTAGATAGTTCGTTGTTTAATACAATATCACCAATCGCACGATCTAGATTGAGATTCGTTGGTCCTATCTGTTTTGATCTATCGTCTGATGATTACTCCTGTTTTAATGACCAATCCATCTCCGTCTTGGTCATACATGGCGGGTGTTTGAAGTCATGTTCTATTAGGAGATAGATCCATTGATCGCCAGTACTCAGTATGACTCTGCTATTAATGCTGCATTAGACGACTCGACCTGTTGATAGCGTGTCAGATTGGATGTTGGCGGTTAGTAGATCTATCTGCTAAGAAGAGCATGGCGTCAGCCGCCCGCTATGTCTCCATCGGCCCTTTAGCCGATGGCTTGAGCTATAACGCGTACGACATGCTTTCATGATTTCGTTGCGATGTAAGTAGGTCTATCGATTGTTGGCCTCCGATCTAAGATCCTACCGTCAATGCTGCATCAGGTGACTCAACCTGTTGACGGTACAATAGATTTGAGTCCAGTCGTTTGTAGGTTTATTTATATCCAACGGATGAGTGATCGCGTGCCGTACGACACGATCACCGGAATCGACTGTTTTAGCCGATAACCCGCTTTGTCGAGGATGTATTGGCTGTTTATATGCTTTTACTTGTTCTTGTCCTGGTTAAAAGCTAGTATGTTCCTCACATGTTCGCTTACATGCCTATCGTTACATCTTTTGCATGTTTTCATGATCATCGGCTAAGTTAGATCTATGTAACTAAGTAAATAATAATTGCCAATATGCCTATTTTGTTTACATAACATCATGAACATGCTGGATATCGACTTTCTAGTTGATAGCCTTATTGTGCTGGCCACTTGGCCGTATATTTAGAATTGTCTGGACAAACACCGGCATGTTCCACCTTAAATTACTGATCACTTTCTCTCATTGTCAATTGCAGGGTCAAATTGACTGGCACGCCCTCTGTCACGACCATTCGGTCCAGCGCCTCACCTTTTAAGTCCGAAGAGAACTCGGGATCTGCCCCGCGCGGTTTCTCTCGGCTTGCTCACGTGCCGGCGGCTCCCCGCCGCGCGCATTTTTGCCGTCGACAGCGCTCATGAGTGCCCCTTGGGTCGCTGGAGACGACATGAGGCGCCCCGACACCTACGCCCAGCTGCCATTGGCAGGGGCGGCGGCGGCGACGCATCCTGACAGCGTTGGGTTGAGAAAGAGGCCGGGGAGGCACTGCGCGAACTGAGGGAGGAGACGGCATGGTCAGCTTGGGTGGAGGAAGGAAGCAACGGTAGCGGCGCAGGGCTCTGCTGCGGCAAGTGGAGACGAGAGAGACCTGGAGATGGGGAGGGCGAGACGGAGTGGAGAGATAGAGGGATGGGCGAGGCAGAGAGGAAGCCGTGTCCGAACCGACGTGAGCGGACGAACGCCCGCGTCTGAGTATTTCTGTAATATTTATCATATTAAATAAAATTTATCATAAAACATATTTATAGTATATTTATTTAGGATCGTATGTGTTGATATTATTTTTTAAATAATTTAATTAAAATTTCAATAGTTTGATTTTGCTCAGAACTAGAATTATAATCTTTTTAGGACGGACGTAGTATATGTTATACTCAGTGGCGGATCCAGGAAATATTTCAGGGGGGGCTGAACAACACTGCTGTCCGATCTTAAGTTACCCCCCGGGGGGTGTGTCCGCCCCTGGTTATACTTTTGTTACTTATTATTAGGATCTATAAGTCGTGCTCTGTTAGCACTCCTGGCAATAGATCTCTGCACTTTTGATTGGTGCTGCTTTTCAAAATACAGAGAAGAGCAGAGTGCTAGCTTCCACTTTGTGCCAAACTCTGGTTTTGAGATGTTTTTGTACCAAACTTTGTCTAATTTATTTCCGATTCATGGAGGTCAAGCATGCAAGAACAACACAGATGCATCATGCATGCATGCAGCTGAAAAGAGTTGACCACCAACTGAGAGAGGAACAGTTGTGTACTTGTGTGTGAGGAAATGACCAACAATGGGAGGTCTCCAACGCCTAGGAGGCCGGGTATGCATGCGTTGGTCTAGTTTAAACTTGCTTGGGTTTGTAAATTTGTACGTATTTCTCAATGCTTTTTGGCCGGCTCCTCTTGCTTGTACGCTGACGACGACGGACGTGTGGTGAGTTACTAGGCAGGAACGGGAAATTTGCATAGGTAAGCTCTATTGACTAACGAGCTAGTATAGTAGCATCTTTGACTAGTCCACATGTGTTTAGGTTAACCCACTCTATTTTTTTTCTTATTACTAGTAATAGTTAATTAAGTTGCACTGGTAGGAGGATCTTATCATGTGGCGAGTAAAAATGAAGCAAGCAACAAGCATATGGCTGGTCTGACCTCAGAACTCAGAAGTGCATTGTTTTCTTGCTCTAGGTGAACTGAACCAAAAGATAACGAGAAATCTCCTCAACTAACTCGTATTATGTTTTAGGGTTCCATCACTGCTGGTCACCGTCTACGCAACCAAAACATTTGATCTTGAGCTGAAGAGAGACGGTGCAGTAGAATAGTGCATGTGGTCATGCATGGACAAGTGAAGAGGACATGACGTGTTCCGAAGAGAAAAGTAGTGAATATAAGACAGGAACTGCTTTGGTAAACGGTAGGTCTCGGTTTTGTGGTCACCCTGCTGCGTTCTCGCCACGTCTCATATATAGTCTCATATGGCTGATAAATAAGCAATGCGAGCTTGGGTGGTGTGGTGATTTGTCTGTTGGTTTGTTGACTTACAGATGAGACGACGCAAGAGGCTTGCTGTCTCTGTCAAATCACCGCAACAACAACGCAGAGGCAAAGACAGAGGGAGATGGGCTAGAAATGTGGGGGAAACGATGAGCGATGAAACAATGCAACATCCAACACGTAGATGTTAGATGTGTAGATATAAATTTTAGTCATATATATCTATCTATCTACAACTAAAACATTCATAACTATTCCGTCCACAGGTGCGACACCAAAACCGCTAGCTCCCATGCATCCACCCGTGCGGCAACCTTCAATCACTAGAATTTCGGGACATGCAAAACAAATCAGCCCTTCATGTTTAATCACCAGAATTTCGTG